TCTGTGTGTGTGTGTGTGTGTGTTAACTTTCGCCGTGAGAGCTACCTGATGATGATGAGTGGACAGGTGAAGCAGTAACTCATTGTGGACACGCTGAAAGTCCAGTCTCAACAGGTTGCCAAGGCTGAAGTCCGTCTCCGTCTACCAAGAAAAAGAAACAACATGCAACAGAGTCATTTGAATAAAGGTTTTTTTAGTTTTAGTAAGAATTTCACAGCACTTGCAACCCAATAACGTCATGTAAGAGCTGAAGATTAGAGGTGATATATGAGAGTAACAAACACAAAAAAGAAGGAGAGATAAAGAAGATAAATGTTTCATAGGAAAGAAGGAGAGATAAAGAAGATAAATGTTTCATAGGAAAGAAGGAGAGATAAAGAAGATAAATGTTTCATAGGAAAGAAGGAGAGATAAAGAAGATAAATGTTTCATAGGAAAGAAGGAGAGATAAAGAAGATAAATGTTTCATAGGAAAGAAGGAGCAAGCCACACCAGATCAACTGCCAACCACCCCTTTTTCTACTATTTATAGTTGATGCCAACTCCTGAGTATCATTGACAACCTACAGATTGACCTTGACATTGGTTTTAGAACGAAGAAAAAAAGTTTACCCTTTTTTTTTCTTAGAGTAACAAACCACAAGCTTTAAATTTACCTGCAGATACAGAAAGGCTTTCTCCATCTCCTCTTTCTGACAGAACCGGACCAGGTAAGAGAAAATGTACTTGGTGTTATTGATCAACAGAGAACGCCGACTCTGAAATAATAATAATAATAATAATAATAATAATCATAATAGAAAAATAATATAATAACAAAATAATAATAATCATCAACATCATCAGAACAATAATAATAAAACATGAAGTTTGGATGGGGACATAAAACTTTTACAATTACTATTATATCCAAAATAAAAATAGCAAATAAATAATAATAGATAATAGATAAAAAGATCGCATTCTTAAAGCATATATCCCTTTTAGAGAGTAGGCCCTATATGCACTTAACAATTCATAAAATTTGCAACCTAGTCGTTCAGTTACTGTTTTACCGCCAGCCCGCATTCATGACAACAACCACATTTCCCGTAATGCAAATGTATTTACGCCCCCATCCAAACAACTTAGACCACACATGAAATGAGCTGCTTCCACCCAGCCTGACAGGGCCAGCCCACATCGAATGAGATACAACGGTATCCCAGCAGATAGGCGGCAATATTCAGTAAAAATTTTCTCCATGTGAAAATTGAGCTCATGTCGTTAGCATGCAACAGCAACGCCCGTAACTGCTATACCACAGACGTTGGTGTTTTCCCCCAAAGCATACTAGAATTGAAAAGGCATACAAGAAGCATAACACTCAGCAACTGTCTGACAATAGAATAAGACTTTGACTAGAAAGTGTTAACAACAGAACATAATGCTATCAGTCTTGAACATATTCGATTTTCTAAACAACGGCTATTGAAAAATAAAAAAATTTAAAAGCCAAAAGCAATCTTCAACATATTAGAATTTCTATACTACAGCTATTGAAAATGTAAGACAAAAAAAAAATCCACAAGTAATCTGCAAATATAAGACTTTCTCAGTTCTGGTTATAAACAAAATGTAAGAAAAAAGTACCAAGCCTTGTCCAAATACCACATGTTCTCTTTTACCCCCTCCACATACCATTTATTTCATGGCTAATTAATGCAGGAAAAGTTTGCGTTTTTGTGGGTTTTTTCAATGTCTCAAACTCTGCCTTTTTATGAGCGATGTCATGAAAATGAAATTGTGACAGAAAGAGAGAAATCTCCATGTCAACTTACGCTGCTGGAAGACTGAAGAACCGCGATGAGCTTGAGAAGTTTGGTGGACTCGGGAGAACCTTTGCTCACAAGGAATGGCACCATGAACTTCTCATTTCCCTGAAAGAAGTTTGTTTGGCTTAGTGAGTTTTTAGTTTAGCATAAAGTTTGAAGTAATCACCACATTAGACGAATTGGGTACAGAAATAACAACACCTCTACTCTTAAATTCTATTTATGACAGTGATAAGATTCCAGCGGATATGGTCAAGTCAGTATTTATAGCTTTGTCTAAATTACCAGGTGCCACAGAGTGAGTTGCATAGCCTTATGAGTCATGAGTCATCTGTTTCACATTTGATACTCCATGAATATGATGAAAGAGAAGCACACCGACATGATAAAAGTGCACAGAGAAAGCAAAGACAGGATCTGCAAATCTACAACATGCCTGTTTGAGGGTTTTTTTAAAACATGTTTCAGCCACCATCAAGATTTTCCTGTGACTAACCACAAAGGAAATCTTGTTCAACTAATAATATCAGCATGACTTTTCATCCGACAAAAGCATCAGGTTTCTGTTTCTATTAGCCTTAGAATGAGTCCATCATTCAGACAACTCAGTTAATTTCCCTTATATCCGATTTATTAACAACACAGTCTTCAACAATAAGATATAAGAGCCTTAGACAGGATTTAGTTCAGACCAAGCAGGATTTAAGTAAGGCCACAGTCTTATAACAACATTGTGAACCTTAGATGAGATTTAGAAAAGACCAGTTGACTTTCAGTAATAAGAGAAACAGATGAAAGTATAACTGAGCTGGCCAGCCCCAACAGACAATCGTACTTGAAGGAATGCCTTCAGATCGTCAGCCTCTAGTGTCCTGGCAATGTTCATCAAGATGCTCTTGCCGTTTGTCCCTCCCGTGTTTTGTTGGTCCACGTAGATCTCTTCCACCATAAACTGAGGAGAGATTTTTTTTTGGAATAAAACAAATGACAAAATACAAATAAATAAAATATTATAATTCCTCTCACCCAAAAATTGAGAACAAATAAGAAAAAAGCCAAGAAAAAAAAAATTTCAATAGATAAATCCTCTCTACAAAAACTGAGGCAACAAAAAAATAGACATAAATAAATTAAATCCCTCTCCACCAAAAAAACTGAGGACATATGTTTCCTTTACAAATGAAAAAAAAAAATGGAAATAAACAAAATTCCCTCTCCCAAGAACTAAGAATGATTTTTTTTAAAACCATAAAGTTCCACTATAAAATGACAAGGGGAATAATTTTAAAAAAAATAGAATATTGAAATTCCATTCAATCAAAAACTGAGGACTGAAAAAACAAAAATTTACCTTTACTTATCTTCGTTGGGAAATTTGTCTCACAATGGGACAGTTTGTTTAAGTTCAAGAGAAGCACATCTGCACAATAATGATCAGAGAAATGAAAGTTCTGTACTTTTTATTGTTTCTTTCATTTTATTAATCAATGGGAGAGAGAGAGAGAGAGAGAGAGAGAGAGAGAAAGAGAGAGAGA